GAATCTCCTTTGTTGGCAGGTTTCCCCGGTTTGAGCAATGGGACCACTCCCCACCTTCCAGATGTCTGGGATGATGAGAGTGGCCATAGCCAGATTGAGGACCTCCGTTAGGTACGCTACTCCCGCAGGACCCTAATTTTTCAGCATCAGCATGCATATTCCGTCGGGACCCATGGCTTTGGAGGCTTTCGCCTTCTCGATGGCCACCTGAACTTCACCGCAAGTGAAAGCAAGGGGGCACAGGTTGCTGGCAGCTTGTGCAGCCTTCTGGTCACTCGACGCTTGGCTTTGTCCACCGGAGGATGCAGTATGAACTGCCGGCTAAAATAGCTCGCGCATCGCTCCGGGTCCGACGAAGCATGGTCGCCGAAAGAAATTTCGACTCTGTCGTCGTGCTTCGTCGGATTGGACAGTGACCTCACGGTTGACCAAAGCTTACTCACACCAGAGCTGAAGTTACAGGTCTTCAGATGCTCTTCCCACTTCCTCCGCGTATGTACGTTCATGCAGTCTGACCTTCGCCCAGGTGGTGAATAGGGTTGCCGAGGATTTCGCAGGAGATAGGGCAAGGCTGCTTACAGTGAAGAAGGGAGATAACCGTTTACTTTCGAGCACAAGTCATCAATTCCATTCCCAGACGCCATGATCGAACAATCGTCAGCATAAGAGACAATATTGACACCCTCTGGTGGTTGGGGAAGCTTTGAGATGTAATAATTAAACAGCAGTAGGGAAAGGGCACCTTCCTGTGGTACGCTCTGTTTAATTATAAGTAGCTTTCTGGTTTTGTCTATGAAAATTACTGACGAGTGTCGATACTCGGGCAATTCGTCGACCACCGTTTGAGTCCCTGTGGGAGTGAGGAGGCCTCTATGTCTTCTAGCAGCGTTGAATGACTGACAGTGTCGAACGCCTTGGACTGGTCCAACGCTACTAGAATAGTTCTCTCGCAGCGGGGTCGGTTAAGGCCACGAGTTATCTGAGTGTTTATGACGTTAGGTACTGTTGTTTTGCTATGCACTTTACGGAATCCATGCTGATGCTTCGCTGGGTTCAGGTGGTTCGTGATATACGGGAGTAGCAGGGCCTTTAGTGTCTTCGATACCGGGGAAAGGAGGGTTATCGGGCGATAAGACTCACCTCTGTTGGCTGGTTTCCCCACTTTGAGCAGTCCCATGACGACGTTTACCTTTATCCACCGGAGGATGCAGAATGAACTGCCGGCTAAAAGAGCTCACGCATCGCTCCGGGTCCGACGAAACGTGGTCACCAAAGTCTATTTCGACTGTGTCGTTACGCTTCGTCGGGTTGGACAACGACCTTACGGTTGACCAAAGCTTGCTCACACCAGAGGCGAAGTAGCAGGTCTTCAGATGCTCTTCCCATTTCTTCCCCTTATGTACGCTCACAAGTTGCCGAATCTCCGAA